AGGTGTTTTACGCACGCTGTAGAGCTGATAATTTGGTGTAGATAACAAGAGAAGCTAGAGGCAGGCTGTACGAGTTGTACAGCGCCGTAGTTGGTGAGATGAGTTTAGTCTGTTAGTAATAGGGTGATAGGCGACAGCTGCGCAATGTATGAATGCCTACACCAAGGCGCTGGGCCTAAACAGGCGGCATCTATATCGCGGACTAAAATCGGAGAAAACCCAATTATCGAATATTGAATCTTCGTTGATAACACAAACGACTCATGATCACTTCGACATGTTAGATTTATATTCATGTAGTATTGATCATCTCCCTGTTTCCTAAGTACCAATATTCCCGCTGACGAAGACTACTAGCATTACAGCACACGCAGCAGTTGCTGCAAAAACCTCTGACCTTCTTGAATTTGTCAGAATTCCTGAATTGGCCGCGAAAAAAGCAGTAAAGATGGCAATAACACCCAGCTTTGTCTTCTAGGAGGATATTGCGTACAGCGTTACTATAGCCCCAACAACGAGCGCAGCAGCGTTCAAGGCACACATATCAGTCACAGTCCGGGCAGTTCGCTGGTCCGAAGAATACACAATTCCGTCTCTATCTTTCTCGACTCTGAAAACCCTGAGCGGTGATCTTGCAAAAACGCAGTCAGCCGATCATGGTCTTGTATTTTCAATACTACCAAGTCGTCTCTGTCATAGAATAACTCTCTAATGTGTGCACATAGAGTCGGAGATGGTTTTTCACTTTCACAATTGAAGAATTTAAAACAAAATGCCTCAAGTGTTCGCTTTGGCAGTCTAGGAAGCAATACTAACTGGCTTTTGTATAGCAGAGCCTCTCCTTTCAAAATATCTTAGTTCAATGTTGTTACACGATTCATTCTATTTACTTAAGATATGCCTTGAGTGTTTGAACTATCTCATCACCGAGCTCTTTGCGTCCCTTATGGCGAGAATCATTGTCGGCTGCTCTTTTGAACTCAGCCCAGTTCCGCGAGTACTGCCTTACCTATAAAGGACCCAAGGCATCTTTGCGGTCGAGCGCATCTTGTTCAACGTGCAGCTCGGCAAGCTGACTCTGAAGGTGCAGCAAGTGTCACGCGGCTAAACGGTTGGACCTCTTGAAGATTGTCGTTGTCTGATCGCGGTCACTGGCAATAAAAGCTGCCAATGAAGGATATCCAGATAGGAAAGACTGGTCGGACGTCCCTTTTTCGATTTCCATGTCAATCTGATATTGCGGCTTGTAGCTTTATACAACTGATACTAATTGGAGAGGGTTTTCTCACCGGATCTTTCGGCATTCGGCCTTGGTCTGCCTTGTGATTCAGAGCTGCATGCTGCAAGGCTACGCACGTATTATCTGCAGCCACTAAGTAATCTCAACCATGGTTGATATACATGATTGGGTATTTCAAGGTGTTGGTTACAGTTGGTGCACTCATCATAGGTCAGGAAAAGACTCGCAAGTCCCGGGTATTTTCTTCGCGAGATTGATGCTCTCAATTTTCCTTATCGCCCTACGCTACGTTCTCATTATCATCACCCTTTTTTCAACCTATCGATTTTAGGAATTGAAGTCTTGCTGTATCATTACACAGCACAAGGCTAGCCATAAATGACATCGCTCCGGCGAGTCGAGTCCCCGACATGCCTTGGCATAAACAGGAAAGTTCATTGGTTTACAGAAACACTGCATTTCTTTTTACAAAGGAACCCTAACTCTAACTCTATACCGGTTCCGTCGGCGGCTTGCCCCTGTGGTTGAATGGGGGGCTTCCTACCCATCTTCCTTTACTCGTTCCGTCAGCGGCCTGCCCCTATAGCCCTCTGCTTTCACGCAACACTTTCTAGGCCTAAGCCGCCGCCCTCTTCTTAAAGAGAAGCTGTCCTGCGGGATAAGGAATCGATAACCTGCCTATCTCAATCTGGGGGTGTCTCTCCGTCTGGCCATTAGGCATCTTAATATCGTAGTTAAGCAGGAAGTGGGCTATAATAATCTTCATCTGAAGCGCAGCAAAGAACCGACCAGGGCACGCGTGCCTACCATGGCCAAAGGCAAGGTTTTCTTCGTTAGCGGTAACGAATTGGTTACGGGCGATATCCGCAGCCTTGCCAGTTGAGCGCATCTTATAGGCACGGAGGCCGTCGAATACCTCAGGATTAGGGGGGTAGAACTGATCGTCTTGGTAGATAGCTTGTGAGGCAACTTCGATCATAACACCAGGGGGAATGTATTGGCCGTTACTTAGAGTTATACCCTTAACTACACGGCGGACCATATTGGCTGTAGAGAAAGAGAAAATGTTAGTACCATGCTTCTTTCAATATAGGGCAAATGGAAATAGCACGTAGAAGTAGATTTTCTTTAAACTTACTAATACTCGAAGCGTGGAATCGGAGAACCTCCTTCATAAAGCTATCTAACTTTTCCATCTTTTGAACTGCACGGTAAGTAATGCTACCTCCTTCTTCAGCGATAGCTTGACGAATCTCCTCTCGGAGAAGCTCAATATACTCTGCCTTAGAGACGAGAGTGAACATGATATTAGTAAGAGTTGTACTCGTAGTATGGATAGCGGCAAAGATTAATGTAAGTTGGCCAGTAATAATATCGTCGACAGAGGTCTTGCCCGCATTTCTGTTAATAATCCATTGCAGTAAGTCTTCTGGTTCCTTCCACTTAGGATCTTTGGCTTTAGCTTTAGCCGCGATTCGCTGCTCAATAATAGGACGTAGAACATTCTTAGTTAGCTCCTCACGTTTACGGAGCGTAAGAACCTCTGGTGTACGTAGGGCTAAAAAGGGCTTTAGCCATGGGCTAATCTTTTTAACAGCAGTAACGACGTTGAATACATCCACAGGGTACATGCAGGCAGCATTAAAATAGTCAGGATGACTAGATATTTCTGGACCAACAAAAACGCTACCCGAGGTCTTGGCAATGATAGGAACCAATTTCTCGTTAATGTTGACTTCAGTCCAGTCGTCACACGGTGGCAAAAATATTTGGATGGCTAGTTCAATATTACTAGCCATAGATGCGTGCAATCGAGCTATAATAAAGAATCAGCAAGATTAACGATTACGGAGTTTTTTTTCTTTAGAGGCCGTACGTATTGCCGATGTAAGCTTTGTCCTAAGAGTATCTGTAATAGCATGACTCTCACCAACGAGTTTTGTATATCGGATCTCCATCTCCTAATCAAAGAGTTAGCGTAATAATTGCAATAAAGAACATTCTTTCTACCTACATCGGTAATGCCTTTTGAGAAGTTAAGAACATCTTCGCCTAAATTTCGGAGTTCTGGTAGGAAACGCGGAGGGATAATAACGCTTTCATTGCCTAGATATAGTTGTAGATTAAGAATATACTTTTCTAAAGGCTAACCTACCTTGATCATTGATAAGTGTAAAGGCCTGGTCTCTAAACTAATTATATTGTAAGTAAGCATTACTCGCGTATAGAATAGACTCTACCTTTTTATACCCATCTTTGTAAATTTTACCTGCAGTAGTTGTGTAGGCGGCTCCTGCGGTAACGGTGGGTAGCTTGCTCATATAGTACCTATGCTGTAGTCTTGGGACGAAGATCCATGCTATAAAAAAGATAATAGCTGCCATTCCCGTCGTCTGCAGTACGAGCATGATTTGTGCGGCAAATTGTGAGTCCATACTTGCGGTTGTGTATCAAAGACGAGGAAAGCAACTAACGGTGAAGTGAAGCCGAATTATGAGCAAAATTCAAATGGACAAAGATACACAAGATATATAAAGCAACGGACCGCGCTCGCTAGGCTTAACTAGACTACCCTTATCCTGTTTAAGCAGGTATAGAATTTACTATATTTTAGAGAGAGATATGCTAGGTGGACGGGTTACTACATCTAGCTAGGTGTAGGCATGTAGATTAACCTTCGGCGCATAGCGCGGCGTTATAAGCTAGTATAGAGTCGCTATACTAGTAGCGTTCGGAAATTAAAACCAGTTAACCATAACACTTATTTAGGTAATACTCCTTAAGGAAATACTCCTTTAGGGACAATTTATACTGCTAGACTCTCTATAGTTAGCTAATTTACTATCTAGTCCAATTGTATATGTGTTTTACTAAGGTAGGGTTGCCATACTTAGGGTTCAACAAGGGAAAACAAACACTACCGCTACAGCAGGGTTGTTTAACACGATAGAAGGCTTACTTCAGCCCTTAATAACTCTTTAGTAGAAAAGAAAAGAGTATCTCTATAAGTTTTCAAAGCCGGACATAAAATAGAGCTCCTTAATAAGAGCGTGCTAGGCAGACATTTTAAGTACGAAAAACTATCCATACCAGAATTAGGAGACATATGCACAAAGGCTAGCCAACGATGTCTCCCGCGACTCTCCGTCTCTATCGGGTTCTGGCCATTCGCAGTACCATTCGGAACATCGCCGCCGCAGCCACGGACAATTAAAGATAAGCGTGCTTAAACGAAACCTGAAACCTGAAACCCGAAGACTTTCATCCAAAAGCTTGAAGACGATCGCTCGGGTGAGGAGAGGGTGTTAGAAGTCTGCAAGGAGTTTGCAGACAGGAGCGACGAAAAAAAAAAGGAAGCTTTTTAGTCTGGTCGAGGTAAATGAAGTAGCGAAGAGACTGGTGTCGCGAAAACAGAGCAGTTCTGCGAAGGACAAGGATGAAGAGCGTGTTGCAGGCGACAAAGTCAACGCCTGGTTTCAAGAGGCAATCTAGTATGCCGATCACTAATAGTGCCTGTCAGCCGGCTAGTTTTACCTAAGACTGAAAACCGGGTAAAGCAGCGATGCTAGCGAGCTACTATTTAAACAGCGCGAAAAGACCATTCGGTTCAATAAATCGTGATACTTAGTATTCTGTCTCTTCTTACTAAGTGTTCCAAATCTAGCATCATAATGGATTTCTTGAAGCGCTTCACGATACAATCTTCTTCTCCAGCAGATAACACACCAGATCCATATGCCGACGACGATATCTATCCAGTGCATGTACTAGATGACACGAAGGCTCTCCGTAGCATGTTAATCACATGCACGTTCTGCTTCAACAATGTTCTTGACGTAGATAAACTTCAATCATCGCTCGCAAAACTCTTAGAAATGGGGGATTGGAGAAAACTTGGTGGCCGCTTAAGACTTAAGGTAGGAACGAGATCTCACATTTCTTTTATTAACTCGACTAGCGTGCTAATACAGCGTGTAGGCCAATGGCAAACTAGAAATCCACGTCCCCCGCGCTTTCACGCCATCCCGCCCCGCCTTCTCCTACACACACGACAGTATCAATACTTCCATCCAGGACCACGAACTAACCAGGAAACTGCCCCTATCACCCGATGGAAGTATTAAAATCAGTCCCGGGCCCACAGACTTCAACGACCTAGCTGCTTCACCTTCCGCACCTGCAACAATCGAAGATCTCCTCTCCGGGGACGTACCCCAGATATCCGTGCATATAACTTCCTTTACCAATGCAACATTTGTGGGCCTAACATGGCCGCACACTCTAATGGATATCATAGGCCAAGCTGCTTTGCTTCAAGCGTGGTCGAGGCTATTAGCTGGTCGGGATGCCGAAGTACCGCCCGTGCTGGATGCACAGGAAGACAAATTGACAGCGTTGACTAATAAGGCTACTGACGCGGCGGAAGAATACGCGCTCAAATCCAAACAGCTAAAAGGACTGAGTTTTGTGAAGTTTGGAGCGAGATTGGCGTGGGATATATTAACAGGGACGAAGCCGGTGACAAAGACGATTTATCTCCCTAAGAGCGTTATGGGGAAGTTGAGGGTGAGAGCTGAGGCAGACCTCTTTGCCTCTTCTAACAACGACGACAACGACAATGATGATACTATAGGAGAGAAGGAGAAACCATTCATAAGCGACGGCGACATTCTTACAGCATTCACCCTCGACTGTATCGCCTCCTCCCTCCCCACCCCGCGTCAAATCACCGCCCTATACCCAATAAACTCCCGATTCCGCCTCCCATCTCTGATCAATGCGAAAGGTGTATTTCTATCGAATATGTCCATCCCCGGCTTCACTTTTCTAGGCCCCGCCATGTCTACCGGCTCCCTAGGTCAAATTGCCCTTTATAACAGGCAGAGATTGTTGGAACAAGCAACAGAAGCTCAAATCCTAGCTATTCTGCGTGAACAATTGATGTCCGGCGACCCTTCCGCCCTCTACAGTGACGCGGATGCGTTGTTGGTGGTGTTTACGGATTGGACGAAGGCAAAGAATTTCTCTGCGATTGACTTCTCTCCAGCGGTGATACGGGCGGGTGGTGATGGTAGAACTGGGGAGGAGAATGGGAGTGACAGCAAGAGATATAATCCACCTGGCACACCCGTTTTTTATCATGCGTCGACTAGGAGACCGAATCCTGCGGCGAGGTTGCTGGTGAATATTTTGGGCAGGGATTATAGTGGGGGGTATTGGCTTACGTTAACTATGAGTCCAGGGGCTTGGGATAAGGTTGAAGAGGGGTTAAAGGAGTTGAGTTGATGTTAATGTGATGGCTAGGGAGGAGGAGGGAGGGGATGTTGTGATATAAGGGTGCGATATATTCCTTGATTGTATTGCTTTGCGGTTTACGAATTTTCTTGTAGGCTTGTGTTGTTGTTAATTAGTAACCGTATCGGACTATTCATTGTCGTCGCGGGAACGAGTTTCTATAATGCTTGTCTCACTGCAACGTTATATTATTTAGTTTTTATTAGAATCATATAGAGATAGCTATCTTAAACCATCATCTCCAAGCTCACATTATTCCCTCTCGAACCATAGACACCCCCATTTAGGATCCACTGTTTATTTTCATCGTTATCGTCTTGTACGTGTCGCCAAGTTTGCTTTCTCTTACTACCTCTATTCTCCCTGTCCTTACTCTTCTTGACTTCGATAGTCGGCACTGTTAAGCTACTTAATAGTGGATTCTTTCTAAACGCTTTACTCTTTTCTATATTAATTTTTAGGACACTATCTCTAGAGGCTATATTAACTATTTGCCTACTTTAATAATAAACCTAAGGTACTTAGTCGTCTTAACTTCAAACTCGCACTTCCTAATATCTACCTGTAGTCCTATGGCTTGAAGCCTACTGTTAGTGTTAGGCGCTGTAAGGCGCTAACTATATATACTATCCTGTGTAGAGTATCAGCAGAACGCTGATTATTCGTACCTTTTTGGTTGTAGTAGCGCAGTGGCACAGGGCTGGCTATCTAACAGTAGACATTAGACCTAAGCAATACAATAACCTTTAGCTCCTTATAGTATCCTGCTAGGCATAGCCTATAATATCTACCTTCTTTTCTTTATAACTTCATAACCATTTTTTATATTTTAATAAGAAGTACACTATTATAATCGCATAGGCATACTCTGACTTTTACGCTAAAAACAGTAATTTTGTTCTCTTAGGATTTCGCTTACCCTCACCTATATTCTACGCTTCATTTGCTTCACTACAATACTATGATATAAGCTTATAGTAAGAATTTATCAATATACATAAAGCTTGAAGACACTTCCACTAAGTGGTATTAAGTTGCACGTAAATCAATGTGTAGGTAGAAAAAGGTAATCAGGGGTTGGTTTCAGGCCATCAGCCAAATGCTCGAGCCATTCAACAAGTGATCAGCGAAGAGACATAATATACCAAGGTTTCCAACAGAGCTAAGCTAAGTATGTATCACAACGATAGCTTCCGTTAATAATTAATTATACATTATGTCTTACGAAAATACCAATTATCCGCTTCTATGAAATTGACTTAACAGTGATATTGTCAAAGTAAACATATCCACTCTGGGGTGTTGATGCGCAACTGACAACAATGCGGATGAACTGGTTATTGCTACCCGCACTAGCCAATGTATACGAATAAGTGTTCCAATCTGAGTTGGGTGCACCCCCATATTCCATTTGAGCAATACCTGTCAATATAACAAGACATTTGGATGGGTCGGGGCCTTCTACCTTAATGCTGAACTCAATTAAATAGTTGCCTGGAAGGATTGTAGGTATCTGACGAATGCTCGCAAACAGTCCCCGCTCGCGCGCAATACGAGGTGTTTTTAAGCCGTATTGGGGGTTGCCTGTGTTGAAAATCTCGTAGCCTCCAGGAAAGAGAATCCACGGAGCTGTGCTAGAATCTTCGAAGCCGGGGTTGGTCACGGCTTGAGCAGGGGTGCACCTACCAAGGGAGCAAATGTCGTCTTGAAGACACTATCAATTTATTAGCTTCCTATAAGCTGCAATTCATGAAGTAAAGATGCGGCTTAGATAGTGAAATGAGATGATAGGCTGGGGCGACTGCTTACCACGTTATCGCATGTTCCACAGTTGTTCCGGTCGTTGTTGAAATCAGGGGCGGGCGCTGTTTCAGTAACCATGGTGACAACGGTTGATGTTGGAGTGTAGTGTTCCGTTGCGTCGATCTAGACAGATGGACTTAATATAACGTTCTTCTAAGAGAGTATGATGAGTTTACCGATTGTGTAGATGTAGCAGTCTCGGTGGTTACAATGTTAGTCACGAGCGTGCTTGTCGACTGTTCGACAACAGTGACTGAGCTGTATACAATCTGGGTGATCGTAGAACTTTCGGGAGAAAGGCAACCGCATGCCCGAGTGATTCTTTCACATTCAAATTGCTGTAGTTCTGCCGGCGCTTCTGCGCATGACACCAGAGGAGTTGGGGTGCTTCGTTCCATCGAGGACGTTATCGTGGAGGTTGATTGAACAGTAGAATACGGCTGATAGATGCTGGAATCGACTGCAGAGTATTGCTGAATACTGCTCGGGGTAACTGTTTCATGCGGTTGAACGATGCTTGAAGCAACTATATAACGATACTCAAAAGTTGAAGAAACAGTGGGATAAGAACTCAAAGTTACGTAGGATCCAGGGATAGTGCTCGAACAGATGGTAGTGCTTGTGCTTATTGTCGGGGTTTCGACAGTGCTAGTAGGCTGTATGGGATGATCATCTATAGTGCTCGAAGACTCGTTCTTAGTGCACGTCTTGCTAGTGGAGGCTGTTTCTTGTGCAGCATTTCGTTTTCCCAGAGTAATGGTTGGACGGCATGCTTGAACAGTGACGGTTCTTAACATATCAGCAGCTAACTTTTGGATATCTTAACAAGGTAACTCACCCAGTGCTGGTCACTAAAATAGCATCAGCAGTGCTAGTTGTGGAACCAGTAATAGTTGTCTCTGTCTCAGTGATCGTCTCCGTGTTTGTGCTTGTCTCTGTTTTCTCAATAGAACTGATCTCTGTTACAGTTTCTATAGCGATGGAAGTAGTGGTTGCAGTGGAGGTTGGGAGCAATGTCGAGCAGAATTCTGGAGCATTAGGAACGGCTTGCAAGACTTGCACAACGTCCAAAACCAGATCGCACTGTTCAGTGGCGGAAATCGTTATCGCAAAGGACAAAAAGAATGGAGCTATTAAAGAGCGCATTTTAAAAGAGCGGAATGGTACGTGACCAGCTACTGTATCTTGTAGATGAAGTGAGATTATCTGGTGCAGCCCTGATTAAGACATAGTACTCAGTATTTATAGTAAAATGTGTCTTGACTCAAGACGTTTCTAGTCGCGTTGTGTGTGAGCTGAGTATGATTGAATCAGCAGGATACCTGAACAAGCGCAACGGGGTCTCCGGGCGCCTTTTCGCCTACTAGCTATGTAAGGAAGACCTAAAGATGTCCGAGGGAAGATAGAGTTCCATGTTGCCCAAGTCTTTCAACGGAAAATACGCGAAATAAGACTGGAGCTAGTGAGAGGGGGTTTTGGCTAGCCTTTTTTAATCTAGCTCGGGTCGGATTGCTCCCCTTATTTAACTAAGACAGGTGAAGGCGTTCTATAGCGTATTGAATGGACAGTGCGAACGGCTAGATTTCGCTAGTTAAGCCAGGCAAGTGGCTAAACAGATCTGAATCTCTGGTCTTTAGGTTTTTGCATCGTTGGGTTCGAAAGTGATAGCCGTGCGTTGTACTATGCTTTTGCTCACATGTTCGTCGAGTATGGACAGTTATAAGAAACCACCACATATGCCTCTGCAATACAGTATACCTAATTGATCTAACAGAGATCGACACTATACAAACAGGCTGCATCCTGCAATCACTTCCAATGCTGTTACTAAGACCATTTGTCCAAACATCTCAAGGTACAATGATCTAGCAGCACGTGATAAGATGGTGCATATCTATATCAATTCTTGTCAAAGCAAGTGATGAGGTAGTTCAAATATTTGTCCATCACTTAGCGCTATTTTTTTACCACAACAAAGCACCCAGACATATGCATGCCATGATTAAGCAGCAAAGAGAAGACAGATGCATCGGCATTAAATATAAGTAGGTCGGGGTTAGTGTCACCATGCAATGTATCCCAAAGATACCTGCAAATTGCTAACGACCACGGGCCAGTAAGTAGTTTAGAGGCTACAGCTGCCGAAGTCTCTTTGTCTATACGGACGCATTATCACACCTCGCCCATTCTTGGTGTTTCTCGAGATAGAGACTGAAGTGATTTCAAAAATGCACTCTGATGGCGTGAAGAGAACGAAGCACATTTAGCTTGAAGAAACTTATTCGCTTCAGCTGAGGGTACATTGTATAAGATTCCACAGCAACCCACATAATTAACAAAGCACACAGAAGTCTTCGCTAGAACTATGGTGGGTATTCTTGTGCTGCTGTTTGTCAATTGTACCACGAGCGACAGCTGTCGGGGATTTTTAGCTGTTCGGAGTTCTTCTCAACACATGTATCTTAGAGGACCGAAGCCTCCCAACATTTATAATGATCCATTACAGTTTCCTGCAAAGGCCGATATACGATACCCAACTCTGTCACACTTCTCTTATTGTCGACCACGAACTTAATTCCCAGATTTAATGACATCCATTTCTGAGTCAGCCCAAACAATGGCCCTATAATTCTAGTGATTGTTCTCGGAATCTCATGCCGCGGTATACGAAACGAGGCTGAGCAGTGATTACGCACAAGGAGAGATATTTCCTTAAAACTTGTCATGTTTTGGTGTGCGACAATGTATCGGCCATTTGTCGTTGCGATTTGTGCGGCTCTTATGTGCGCCTGGGCAACTTCACGCACATCGACTGTAGTGAACCAGAGGTTTGGAACCCCAAACCACAACTTCCCTCTCATCAGCTCGTCCAGAAGGAACAAACTTCCAGAGTCAGAGCTGGGCGAGAGTGACGGTCCCAGCACCAAACCTGGGTTGATTGTGACTAGCTTCCATCTCTTCTTTGCTTGAGCCTCGTACAATGTCCATGCCTCTTGTTCGGCTATTGTCTTTGAATAGTGGTAAGCGTTGTGCGTAGCAGAGCTAGTGGTGTTGTAATATTTCTCAGCTAAGGTGTTTTTATCCATTCTCAGCACATCGGCGTAGTCGCCAAAGATCGCTCCAACAGTTGAAGTCATAATGACCGACTCAACACTCGTGTTCCGTTCGACTGCGGCTATAACATTGCGTGTACCTTGTAGAGCAGGCTCGATTACTTCTTTCTCGGCATTTTTGATTTGCTCTTCCATCAAAAAAGGTGATGCGACATGATAGACTGTTACACAGTCCTGCGCTGCTGCATCAAACGATCCTGCAACATTGAGGTCTGCTTCAAACAGATTCAGTTTTCCAGGCCACTTCTTCTGCATCTTAAGTAGATGGTTGATCTTCTTCTCATTCTTCAAGTCGCGTACTGTTGCGTTCACAGTATCACCGAGCTCAAGGAGCTGCTTTACCAAGTGGCTTGCGATGTAGCCACTCGCTCCTGTCACCAGGGACTTGCTAGGCATCTTTTCCCAGATATCTTTATTAAAAGTGGATATTAGTGCTGCGATCGTGTGCTTCCGACCGTGGCCTAAACCCGAGTGCTTCCAAACAAATACCCCTGTAGTATGAAGATTTGTTCTAGGACACGAACACAGAATGATCAATCCTCGTAGAATGGCAGAAGGAAAAGAAGTTAAGAGAAATCTGAAATGATGTAAAAAGATATTTGGTGTATAGAAATGATGGGTTAACTGCTTTCTTATATAGTTCACCGAGAGATGCCGCGCCGCCTCGGATATCGCTCTGCCAAGACGTCCGTACAACCAAATACTGTACGTACTGTAAGTGGCCATGAGCTTGCAAAACTATTCCCACTATCAAACCTACAACCCCTCAATCTCACCGCGCCGAGACTCCTCCAACCAGAGTCACATTAGAAAAGTGAATGAGATGGTTGAACCGCAAGGTCCAGAAGATTAACATATACATATATCGCGCAACTGGAAAAGATCTTTCCAGTAAGGTAGTATTGGCTACTAAGACTAGGGCTAAAAGCCAATAGGTACAGGTCAAAGTGAGCTTGTAGGCAAGTAAAGAACACAGCAGCGCTAATAGGGTGATGGTAGGAGCTTATAGGTGAGGATATAGAGTGACAGAGAATAAAATTGTCATGTAGATAAAGGTACTGCACAACGCGCCGACGTTTTTAACCCCAATGTATTTGTAGGTGCAAACACCGAGTGAAGAATGCTTAGAGCTTTGGTGGGGCACGTTGCTTACTACGTATACGTAGTAGTAGTAAGCACGACGTACGCACGACGTACGCACGCGTAATCGCGTTCTACTAAGCAGTCGCGCGAACAATCACACACGCGTCTGAAGATAATTACAAATCGCAAAATGGCATCCTTAGATGCGCGTTCTCAACATTCTTCTGAAGAAACCCAGAACTTATATAATGCAATTGACTCGGCGACCCGAGAACGCGTGTGTGCGTTGCTGAAGCACTTAAGTACAACCTCTCCCTCTAACTTCGCGTATGTTCAAGGCGAGTTGATGCTGCGGCCTGGCACATTAAAGAGGGCCCGGTCAGAGGATCAGGACGAGGAAGATGATGTCTCTGGGTCTGACTACTCCGATGAGCAGTCCCATGCGCCAGCACGCAGACAACGGTTCGAGATCTGCGAGCAGTGTAACAAGGAATATGATGTCCTGCATAACGAAAAGAAGAGTTGTGAATGGCATAGTGGTGAGTAAATACTGTACGGAGTAGCTTACATACAAAAGCGCCAATTAACTTGTGATCTGTAGGCGATTTGGAACCTGACTACGAGAACGACTTCTGGGCTGACCACGACGAGGATTGCCACGGCATAATAGATACTCCCGAGATGCGCGAGGACTACCCGGAAGGTTTTATGTGGACTTGCTGCAATAAACTAGGGGATGCGCCTGGGTGCAAGCAGACTAGGCACCACCCAAATCGCGCAAAGAGGGTGCGAAGATAAGGATTAGAATGCGCATGTAAGCACATATCTCGCAGGGTCAACGCCAAAGGAACTTGAGTTACATCAATCTCAGTCCAATTGACAAGATGTCATAAAAGGATAGATAGCCCCAAGAGTACTTTACCTCGCTATACAATCTCTTAAGTTGAGAAATCAATGGTTGTAACAAGACCAAAAGAATATTGATTCTACGTAGTTATTCCTAACAGCTCATGCTTCGCCTGTGGAAACCCTTCTCGCCGTCACACGCACAACTTTGATCACTGTAGTTTAGATACGTTCTTAGCATGAAATGCTACCTGCTTTCTCCAACATTCTTCTAATCAAGCTACAATCATGCTATCCACTTCAAGGACAATAGTCCGATAACGGGATCTTGCAAGGAAATTACTAAATCGTTTTATGCACTACTGGTTCGTCACTCTGTAAAATAGAGATCTGTATTGAGGGGCTGAGCTGATAGCATGGTAGTATTGTTAGTATCTTACAAGATGGCAGAGGCTGCTCCCTCTCCGCATCACGAAAGGACTCGTGCTGCAATAAGGTTTAGAAGGCATTTATGTGGCTTTAATCCTCCAAAGGAACATTAGACCGTGAGATGCACGCTCAGGAATACTTGTCATTGGAAAATCGTTTAAAGCCAAAGGACTACATCGTAATATCAATACACAAGCTCAGAGAGCTAACTAAGCCGAAGCACAGACTGTTACCAACAACGTAATCGCAAAGGATAGTACTAGAGCTGAAACCGCACGTCGCCAGCAGCTAAAAGGTATATGTCCTATGATGCCACCACGAGACCGTTCAAGGGATACTAAGTGCATTTACTGGGTGTTGGGAGTGAGGACATAAACAGCTGCTAATGTCAGTGGAAGGCTCGTACTCGGAAGTTATCAGAACCTACAGTTCACACCGTCATTGACGTTGGATGGACCCATGGTGCTCTTCAGGTAGCAGTAGCCGGATCCTGCTCCACCATTAAACGAAGCAGCCTCGCAATTGGCATCAGCCGCACAAGCCTGAGTGCAAGCCTCGAGGTTTTCGACCAACAAGTTGCGAAGGTCAAAACCAGAGTGCGACCGCCGGATGTGAAAGCGCAGTCGTTATCGGTAGGGCAGGCAAAGTTGGCGGGGCAGGCCTTTCTTGGCTTCTTGCCCTCATCGGTAACAGTGGTCTTCTTGGAAACGATAGCGATGCCAACAGAGTCGGACCTGATATTGTCAGCATGGCAATTGGAATCTTGGCACTGATTCTTACCTAGATTTCGCATCGGTGAGGGTTGACTTCATGTAGCAGCTGTTTCCAACGTAGCTGGCAGCAACACAGAGAGGCTCGGCAGCGCAGGCTTGCATGCATTCGCCAATTGTAGAAGTCTACGTATCGAAGTTAGAGCGGTGAGAGTCAATTGCAAAGAGTGAAATCACCTCAGCACGGATCAAGTCACCGCCGTAGTAGTCAGTTCCGCAGGCGACCTGGAACTTGACTCCTTTGATGTTGTTCACGCACCCACTGTTGGTAGGGCAGGTAGGGTCGGCAGGGCACACAGTGGTGGCGCGGAGTGCAAGAGCAGCAAGAGCGAGAAGTTGAGGGGCCATTGTTGCGAGTGTTGGTGCTCGTCAAGATATTGAGCAATTGTGAGTATGAAGGATTGAGTAGTGTGGTGATTGTGTTGTAGTGAATGGTGAGAAAGATACCTCGCAAGACACGAGGCCTTACATACAAGATACAATGTATAGTCTCCTCGGCCTCAGCGCGATACACCGCGCTCTGGACCGATGTTCTACTATTGCTTTAGGTAATTAGCAAGTATGTGTACCATCAGCCTCATGGCAAGTTCCGCGCCATAGCTTGTATCGCCGGCAGTAAGTCGAGATGCCGATAACAACAAGATCGGGCCGTGACAATATTCGTCGCGATCTGCTTGGTACGACAACACCCCTTGCAGATGCAAAGCATGGCTGCACTAAGCCCAAGCGAGCTGTTTCACTCAAGAGCTGAATGCTCCACATTCCCCATTGGACCGCTGTAATACAAATGCATACCGCCGCGGATTCATACGCCACAGACGGCTCCAATTGGGTTTGCCACTTATTGCACAATGCCAAATTTGTCAGAATTGAGAAAAGAAGCTGTACACTAAGTCTCATGGCGTAGATCGTAGCGAAATTGTCAACGTGGTCCAGATCGTCAATCTTCGCCTGCCAAGGAGCCTGGATTCTACGCCCCCCGTCCGTCCTCAGCTCACGGCGGATCCAGCCCCACGGGTCCAGCCTTACGGGCTTCTCCGCAGACTACAATCCGGACGCCTCGCGACAAGCATTCAGTCTGTTGATTTGGTCATGTTACTTACTTACCGCGGAGATATCTAGTTTGCGAATAATAGTAGCCCAACCTTCCTTGGGACAATCTTAGTTACGCCAATAGGCGCACGCCAGTGATAAACAAGAACTCACTGCACACGCGCCAGCTCACCGGAACATCAAGCAAGCTTGACAACTGGTCAACTTGGAAGTTTCATAGCTCTGCTACAACAAAAGCTTTCTTCATAGTAGTGTATACATGATTCCGCGATAATGCACATGCGGTCAAAGGTTTGGCAGGCAGGGGCAAGAACGTCAAAATAATGTTCAGTCGAATCCTTGTAGTTCATCCTAAGGATCAGACGAGGAACTTCGTAGTGTGCAGGTCCTTAGCCTTACTCGCCCGGGAGATACCCAGCTGAGATTCACGAGCAGCCCTTTCTAAGTCGTGTGACCAGCAAAGTACCGAAAAGCTAGTAGCATAACACTGTTAGTGTATGAATTTATACCTAATCAACTATTGCGCTACCTATTCCGAGTAGGTATAGAAGACAAAGTTATAGATAACATGCTTCTTCCGCTATACGATCAATAAATGCATCCTCGTTTGACAAGCCTCTCGCCCCCTGACAAGTACCCCTGCAGGAAGCTGAAGTGGTAAAACGCCGAGCTATCTCCAAGATAAGCATGTGGCTGATACATCCTTGTCGCTGCGCCAGCAAGGAATTTTGATGCCCACCTCCATACTTACCCATGCTCTACGATAATGGAGCTGGCGATATTTCCAGGAATGTGTACTCAAGGTGCGTTCTCTCCGTGTCACATGTGAGGCACGGGATATTGTGGTTCAATATTTTGAGTGTATCTCATTACCTTTTGCTATCCTTCTACCACAGTCTTTTGAATCCTAAAGTTACAGAAGCTTTAACATATGAACTACTGCAATATCTCCGCTATGGTTAGCATCTGCGTTTTCAATGGAGTTGGGTGATGTGTACACAGACGAATACAGATACCTGGCTGGCTAGAACCCGTGCATAATCAAATGCTCCACTGATGCAGTTGCGAGCTATCTAATATGTGTTTACTGATGATACAGTTCGTGTAATTGTTCATGTGTCAATATTAATTGCTCATTAAATAGTGCATTAAAAAGAATAAAACCGATATCTACGACAATGCTGACGAGTTTGCCAAGTATACTTAAGGTTAGGTAGAAGCCACATGCTATACCCACGGACCTATAGTTCTCCTGGGCTAAGGGGTCTAACACAGGTCTCCAGAGCAATTCTTCCATTAGAGTATGTTGACATAGCGACCTTTTAGAAAACTCTTAGGGAAGAGAAACTACTATCACATGTATGAAGCATGTAGCTTCTGTCTCGACCCTTAGGAGGACTGGGAAAACTATTAGCATTCGTGTTAGTTCACATCCGTGAATACACCTACTATCTCCAAATTTTTTACATAATAGCTGCCCAAGCACAGCCCCTCATAGTGTCGCCCAGGGTCAGAGCGAGGAGAACACAAACATCGCAGACGACCAACGGGTCGAGCTGAATGTCATCAATTTTCGGAAATGCGGCAAATACACTTTGCAATTTTATAACCTTGGCTGATCATGTCAAGTACAGCATCCAATTGTGCAGATATTTGCTTCAAAACAAATAGCTAGAGTCATCTACAGAAACGGCTTTACAGCATTCGCAGTACTCTGAAAATCCTCTAGTACATGCCAATGCCCCACGTTTTCCAGCACATGCAGACTTCCCTTATCTCCTAGTCGTTCCAAGTATTTTTCGCACAACTGAGGCGGCGATACCTTGTCTTCGATTCCTGTAATGATGAGGGTTTTGGGTTGGATGGCGGCAAAGTCGAGCGCCTTTGCCTCCGCAAGTGCCGTGCACCCCTTCGCATACCCCTCCGGATCCTGGCCGAGTAAAGACATGCGCACTGCTGCTACTGCCACGGGATTTGTAGTTTTGGTCTTTTCTGAAGTACCAGCTGAGACAACGGTGTCAACAACAGCGTGCATGCCCTTACTACGCACCATCTGGGCCCGAGCGTGGGCACCCGCACTCCCTGCTTCGGGTAGAGGTGATGGTGGCGGCCCGATCAAAATAAGTTTGGATATCTTGTTTGGATGTATCAGTGCGAACTGAACGGCTGCAAGACATCCCATAGAATGAGCTACAAGCGTTGCATCCAGCGTGATGTTCGCCTTCTCGAATATGCCGTTGACGTCATTGGCAATGGATTCGATACTGACTTTGCTGAGTGGCGAGGATGGTGAGAGCCCGTGGCCTTCCAGGTCAAACAGATGTAGTGAGTGTGTGGTTTCGAGACCCAGAGCCTGGATTAGTGGGGTGTAGAAGTCAGAGGTGCCACCAAGACCATGGATGAAAATGATAGGTGGTTTCGATTGTACCCCGATACTTTTGTAATAGATTGGTTTATTGTTGATGTGTGTAAGAGACGTAGTGTCGATGCTCTTAGCCAAGTTACAGGGCTGTATGTGGGACAACGTGCTTCCAACCGTGGCGATGGTCGGATTGTTCGAGTTTGGACTTGCAATGCGATTCGTCAGAGTACCCAGACCGCTAACGGATATGGTAACAGTGTCTCCAGGCTTGAGATAGACTGGCGGTTTCCTTCCGATACCAACTCCTGCAGGCTTTATTGCAGGTCAGTAAGCTTAATGACTCATTATCAGCGGAAACACTTACTGTTCCGGTAGCAAGAACATCGCCCGGCATGAGCGTTTGTCCTTCGGACATGGTTTTGATTAGATAAGGAATGGAAAAGATCAGGTCCTTTGTTGTAGCTTTCTGTCGTAGCTCGCCATTGACGTATGTCTCAAGCTGCAATACGTTATCCAGCTTGGACGCTGGCACAGCAATCGGTCCCTACAGTTCTAGGTCAGGAGCTGATTAAACACAACTAGTAGTACACATCAACTTACCATGGGGCAGAATGTGTCGGGAGACTTTCCAATGTAAAATTGCTTGTGATCTCTTTGGCGCTCACGCGCCGTCACATCATTCACAATTGTGTAGCCCCATACATGGTCCATTGCACTCTCTTCCGGGATGCGAAATCCAGCTTTACCAATGACAACACCAACCTCGCCTTCATAATCAACTGTCTCTGTGAAGCCCGAATGTGGTAGGATTTCCTCGCCATCTCCAATAATGGAAGTAAAACGTTTGGTGAAAATGACGGGATGGGACGGCGTGTCTACTTTATCTGAGCTGTCAAAACCTGAGCTATTGAATTCCTTCGCGTGTTCGGCGTAGTTTTTGCCAACACACAGGATGTCGCGCCCGGTGAAGGGTGGCAAGATTCTGATGGTGGAAGCTGGTAAAGTTTCTCCCGAAGGGATGATGTTGAATTCGCCAATTTCGATCACTTGGTAGATGTTGTCTAGCGGTGTTCCGGACAAAAAGGCCAATGGTTGGATGGATTTATTCGCGAGATCATAATGGCCAACACGTATGCGCCCTGTATCCGGATCTTGGAAAGACACGTAATTCGTTAGGTACATGTGTCCATTTGCTGAATCGATGAAAGCCATGGCTTGAAATAAAAATTTAACGTCTCTTGCTCGTTGATCCTAAGATTATGAGTGGGCAATACAAGCTGCCGTCTAATCGCTCAATTAATAAAGCCAAAGACGCGCATTCGCAAATGTCACATCTAATACCAACTATCTGGATTTGGACTGATATGTGCAGCGTGGAACAAGTAAAGAGGGGAAGCAGTGAACCCGCGGAGGAAGAATCGCGGAGATGGCGGGGATAGTAGCAGAGAGGAAAGGGTAGTACGTACCAACTGCGGGGCTCCCGCTCCGGACTTGGCGTCGCTCAATGCGCGCCGGATACTGTGTAAATAACGCATGCTTTTCTTGTGAGACCTGGGATGAGCCATTGCCAGGGAAGTATGTAGTGAAAAGCCAAATTAGGAAGCTATTCAATAAAGAATTAATGTTGGAAAGTGTCCATCGATTGTGTTTATGTCAAGACTGAGAGGGCACTCTCTCCTCTTCATTTCACATATTGCATACTACGCAATTTGATTAAGTACGGTATATGTACAACTATGGAGTATCACCGATACAAGACAAAGCTGTCTGTCTCTCAACTTCCTTGAGCCCTCCCCGGCTGTGAGTGAATGTGTTCCTTGGATATAATGGCCATCTCTCGTTATCGTGGACAAAGATCTTGTAACTCTAGCACCACTAGGATTGCTCTGACTCACACGAGGGATATTCCACGTATTTCTTCCTGCAGCCGAATCTCATGGAATCAAGACTTTCAGTGTTCCCACTTGTATTACTGTCTCCTTTGACTGAGTGTGCGACTTCATCTCGGACATGATTGAACTTGTAGCTGAAAAATACTCTTGGTGCAAATTGCATTCCTGTCATATCCCGCATTTTAGTTTTCGTCGGCTATGACTTTGCGTTCCTTGAACTGTCAAAATCACGCGTACATCCAGATCTATCATTTTCTGGGATGATGAGCAATGCTGGGACTTTCTAAGCATAAACCGGCACAGCGACAAAGCAACTAGGACTAGACTTCATCCAAGCCTTGGCCACATTCTGCTGGTTATGACTCATTTTACTTAATTATCGCCGATAATAGCAGCTCAAGGGTTCTTTAATTCCGCTACTTTTGTCTCAAAAGCGAGCTCCTGCTTCTTCCCGAAAATTCCATGGCTGACAGTAGCAAACCCCCGGCCTCTACGAGCTCAATTGATTCATTGTTATGTCCTTCCTTTTTTAAAAAAAAATTCTTTCTTGTTGAATTGGGAGCTATCTATCGATTATCCATGCCGGTTGAGTGCGTTGCAGAAGCATTTGAGACAATAGGTCGATGCTTGTACGTCTTCCGATTCCATTCATAGTTTTGAACACGGAAGCCTAGAGATACGATTCTGGCTCATTGAAACAACAAGAAATTCAACATGATCACAATGCCTGATTTCAGGGAATATCTCTCTCGCAATACGCCGCAGTAAAGGAGTAACGGTTTTAACTGACTATAGTACGTCGTAGCTTACGGCAACAGTAATAGTTGAGTTGGGATGTTGCCATATTTCTACATTCCTTGTTTCGATCTATAAATACATTTTATCCTTCTTGCTCTCTTATGGATTTGGAAACACCAGCGATCAATCCAGCTACCAGCTTCAATGTTCTTATGATGAGAAAGTACACAAATCACCAATTCCCTTCATCTCTCGCGCCAAACTTCCTTAACCCCACCCATTTCGGCCTTTCTTCCCATCTATTGCCTACATCCTTTGTACGTGCAACTCTCCGCGGCTTCCCCCATTCTTCCATGTTCCTTTTTGAATGAAATCTCCAAAACTGCCACGATCAATCTTGCCCTCTGAAAATCTCAAACACTGGAGTACCACCTGGATGGTTCATGGACGAATTGTGTGCAATTGTACACTATATCATCCACAACAATGTATGTATAGCGGGTCTTTCTGGTCGCTTTCGTATTTTTGAGAAGTCAGAGCGAGTTGAGTAGCGGAAAAAAAAGGTAGCTCAGAATTGGGGGTATCCTGAGGGACTAATGGAAGAAGCTGCAGCTCTTGCTGGTGCAAAGATATATTGATGGGAAACGATCTAGTACGAGAGGTACTATCTTCGTCCAAGTCTTGATTTCCTGTCACTTCAATGCCTAACTGATTCGGATTGGACTCCAACTCAGTTGTCTCACCATGCATAGCTCTCAACCATCCCATGTCGTATGCCGAGTCTCACTTGCAGGTAAAGAAAGAACGTGGTCGTGATGTCTGGCTGCTATTCAATCCAGCGAATGGTTGGTCCCTTTTAAGGGGTACATAGTAAGCGGGGAAGGAAGCAGAATGGCCTTGGAAAGCACCGGAAAGCTGACAGGATAGAACTGGCTAAGTGCGGGGTGGCAGAGATGACGGAAACCGAAGTGTGGTTGTACAGTCTGCGGGGAAACCTCGTTCCACACCCACGATCCATGTAGAATTCGTCATTCAGATCGAGAATCACAAATTACTTAAAATTCCATTCGTTTTAGCCGGTCGTAGGGGTTTATCAAAGGCTTTGATGTGTCGTACTTTTCTGAAATCATAAATTGCAGACCCTGAGCTATAGCCACCGAGATCTGTAGTCTTATCTTTCATTACCGTTTTGACACCATGGCGCTTGAACGAATCGATTCTGGCACTAGCTATGACAGCAGGTCCTGGCCGTCAGTCAATGTGGCGCCAGAGCCTTATCAAGGGCCTCCTAGGAACACCGAGTCTATCAAGAATCTCAAGTGGGAAGACCACCTCCAACCAAAAAGACACGAAATCTCGGGTACAAATCCGGAATCGAAGATCCTATTTCTCGATGTGAATATCCTTGATTCTTCTGGTAGGGAGCCGTTCCGCGGAGACGTTTTGATTGAAGGTTCGTAAAAAATTGCGACGCTTCATACGATTGATGGAGAGATAGAGCTGATAGCTATGCAAAAGGGGAACGATTTACAGCGGTGGGTCAAGTACCAGACGTAGAACAACTCAAGGCGCAAGCTGGTGTCAGGGTCTTCCACGGAAAAGGACGAACGCTAATGTCAGGTTTGGGAGACGCTCACACCCATTTTACCTGGAACGGCGGTGATCTCGAGCAATTGGGAACTTTGGGGGTGGAAGAACATACACTCTTGACCATGCGGAGTGCACAATGTTTTCTCGATTCTGGTTACACGATATGCTTTGGCGCTGCGTCGGCGAAAGAGCGACTCGACGTTGTCATCAGAGATGCCATAAATGCTGGAGACATATCTGGTCCTAGATATCTTGCCAATGGGAAAGAAATGGCGCGACGTGGAGGCGAGCTTGTCGGAGGAATCACAGCTTTTGCAGACGGACCAGAGGAAATGCGGGAGGTGATCAAACACCATGTCCAGCTTGGTGTTGACAATATCAAATTGAGCATGAGTGGCGAAGAAGCAAGTGAAACCGTACTTTGTTTAACCATTGGAACTTGGAGCTAACAGTTGCCCGAAGATTACGGAGACACGATCGGCCCAGGACTGCTACTTCACCGACGAAGAGACCCAGGCATGCGTGGATGAAGCCCACAAACATGGCAAGCGTCTATGTTCTCACGCCCGTGCCCGTGACTCTGTCATCATGTCGGTCAGACATGGAATCGAAGCAATCTACCACGCCTCTTACATCGACGATAGAGGCATGCACATGCTCGAGCAAGCAAAGGCAAAACACATTGTTGCTCCAGCAATCAACTGGCTGGTATGTACATTGAATGATGCGGAAACATTTGGCTATCCAAGGGAAGCGGCAGAGGAAGCGGGATACAAACGTGAACTCGATATTGCCATTGCCGGGTTGCGGGAGATGCATCGCCGTGGTATCGTCGTTTTGCCTGGTGGCGACTACGGCTTTGCATGGACGCCGCATGGAACGTATGCACGGGATCTCGAGCACTTTGTGAAGCTCCTTGGCTTCAATAAGCACGAAGCCATCATTGCAGCGACTGCTGGGGTTGCAGCTCTATTTATGCAATCGAACGAACTAGGCAAAGTTCAACCAGGCTACTACGCCGACTGTATCCTAGTTGATGGCGATCCACTCGAGGATATAACCGTTCTACAAAACCACGATAAGCTGAACGTGATATGCATCAATGGTAGAGTACACAAAGCCGGTACAAGGGAATACATGCAGCCTTCTGTTTCGGGTCAGGACAACAATTCGCATGTCGTCGTGCCCGATCAAGAGTTCCTAACTGTCAGGAACAAGACTCAGGTTGATTCTAAACTGCACTAATTCTGGCTTAGCTCATGTGCCACTTCCATTGGAAGAACATGAGTGAATAGTTATATACGGACGGTGACTGGAAAAATTGCATTGTAAATTCAAGCCGAGTTTGTTGTCCTACGGCAATCATTTCGGTTACTTATTGCTATCGGTCTGGTCCAATATATTTTGTTGTCAAATTTCTCTCGCTCTCTTTCCCTTACGACCTCTTTGTCAATACCCTGGTGTAGCAGTATGTTATGCTCATGTCATACCACCGATCTCGATACGGGTGGTGATACTGTTACCTATTGCAAAAGAACTCCTGATGGCGTCAGCCAAAATTGGGAGTTGAAGTCTTCCAGCATGCTATTATTTCGACTGTACAATGTGTGGCAAGTTTCATCCAGCCCACATTCATTTCTTGATGGATCGGATTCAGATACTGGTTCTGGGAATATTACGCGTTGGGCGTATTCATCTTGATCCTGAACCTGCAATCTGTTATCCTGGGATTGATTTCCGCCATGCATCGTCCACGCGTCCATCATATGCCTGTAGATCTTCAGAAACTTATCCGTTACACAAATGTAAACGCGCGACGGCAAACTTACAACATATGCCGCAGAACCGGCAGAGCCTTGTTACATATGATGCTTGTTTCGGTGAGTGCCTCAAACCTTTCAGCGCACTGCTTTACCGTGGTGAGAACGTCTTCGTGAGTCAAGCCCCAAGAGCATTCGGCCAGGGCGGCGATGAGCGATACAGCTGCGTGGTACGCATGGAAGCTGCCGATGCCTCGAAGATACCATCTGAATGGAGAAAACTCATCTTTGGTGAAAGGTCAGTGTGTATATGCAATATTTTCTCTGCGCTATGCACAACTCTGGATACCGATAGACGGCATTGTTGAGAGTCCACCGCGGAACGTCTCAAGGCGTGGTTGTGAAGAAGTAACATCAACTGATGCGAATAACCTTGCAAAATACTGAGATGCACTTTATGGTATATAGGTAATGCGGCTAATCTCGATTGTGTCAGACAATCGTCATTCCAGCTGCGTTGTTCATTGAGTATCCTTTGGTCCCCTCTGCTGATCAGAGAAGAGGGAGTGTGTAGAGAGGTAGAGATCATTGAGAAGCCCATTCGACGGTCCCAAAGCCATTGTAGATGTCCCAATAATGGAATACAGGAGGGCTATCCATGATGGACATGACTGTTTGGTAAATGGATGGGTCATAGATCCAAAGGGTGCGGAGTTAAGGCAAAGTACTTTAGTGGAGCGGAGAAAGCGGAGAACACACCAATGAGCCGCAGCGAGCTGTCACCTTTTCGTCTCCCTACCCCTTCGGATTTATCCGCTGTTGCTTTACGTCATCGATGGACAGGTGACATGCATCTTTCTGATTCCATTATCGTATTGAACGCCAGTAGTGGCGGAGACCAAAGGTTTGGTATTCCAGTCTCACCTTTTTTTACTATCAATCGTGTGCATTATCACTGTTGTCTTTTTGACCAAAGTACATGATTCGCCAGATGACCTGCAAGGTTCCTCTTCTTTGCAAACACCGTCCAAGTAGATAGACTCATCTCAGTACACTTTATACTCTCTCCTTTCCTTTGCCAGTGAATGGTTGTTGCATAACATCGGCATCAAAGTCAAAAGATGAGAATCTCCACGTTGGCATAACCTGACCCTGATGCTTCACCCCTTCGATTTTTTCTTCATCGGGTAAGGGCCTATGCTTGCCATCGTACCCAGAATCAGTGCGGCATCTTTTGGTGGATGGACCGGGTTCCCCATGTCCAATGACTGGTGAGAAGGGTTCAAGATGATTTGTCTGCTGAATCGGTTGGAGGAATTCAGTGCAAACGCCAGGACCGCTGGTGGCGTTTGATTTGTTGTATGAGGTCGTGGTATGATGCATGGCGTCCTGCGACGAATGCGACGAATGCGACGAATGCGACGAATGCGACGAATCTGAGTTTCTTCTCGGCAGACTTGTTTCCTCATCATCTTGCTTATTTCCAAAGTTTGCTTGTTGGTATATCTTATTCAATTCATTTGCAGCTTTCCTTTTGAGCAGGTAGTCTCGTTGCTGAAGCAGAACGCCAGCAGGCGAGTACTGCTCTTCGTGTTCCAATCGTGCCAGCTGCACTTGCTGCCTGATCAGCTGCTGTTGCAAAGCTTGCTGTTGTAGAAACCTTTGTTGAAGCTGTCGCCGTTTCATAGAGGCATATTGTTCCGCCGTCTCGTTTATCAGCCTTGGGTTCACATAGGGATCCTGCTGCCCTGAATGCTGGTTCATTTGCCGGTAGGGTGGTGGGGGGCAGCTACGTTGTATTAGATTACCCGTCATGGGTATGCCATCTCTGGCCATGCTTTCAGTGTCCAGGGCGACGGGAGATTTTGAGATTTGAGTGGGCAACGCGTCAGGCGACTGTACTGGAATTGGCTCTTCCCAGACATGTGACGGATACTTGTCGCTTTGAAGGAATCTGGCAATACGGGTTTCCATGGTACGTTTTTTCCGCTCTTGGTCCTCCAAGTGCTTGGTCCAGTAATCGAGGAGTTCTGCCCTGATGGCTCTGAAAGCTATGACGTCTTCTTGTTCACGCGCTACCCTAGCTCGGTGCAGGAATGTGTGTCTTCCGCTTTTCAAAGTGATATCAGGCACATGGTTGGCGAATTCAGTATAGAAGTTGCGAAACTCGGTAAACATTTTGCGGATGAGTGGCTCTTGCAGAACATTTGCAGTGCCTTTGGAAGAGATCTGGCGCCTCCATTCAGTGGCGTAGGCATCAAATGCCGGTATGCCGGGTAGCAATACTGGGTGGTCGGTGGGTAAAGAGGGCACGGAGCAGAGTTCATAGTAAGCGGGCAGTGCTGATTGTATACATCCGGTTCCAGCTGCAAGAGGATATCGACCAGTTGTGCGTTCGATGGGATACATTGAATTGCTGTCTGGCCTTCCGGTGAAGACGCCACCAAGAGTCGGTTGGCGCACATTTCGTAGTCGTTCAAAGGGGCTGAAAAGTAGCTTTGAATTGGAGAGGATTTGCTCTTCTTGCCAAGCAAAGTCGGCTAGGCACAGGCGGACCTGGAGCTTGTAAAGATTCTTTGCCTTTGCCAGGATACCAGAAACAACCACGGAGATGTAGTCTGCGCACACATACACACATATATCAGAAGCAGCACTGCAACATGGACCGATGGACTCACCTCTAATGTCGTAAATCTCCACCTCTTCGTCCCAGCGAGATCTCATAGTCATGTTGGCCATGTTGGGCACATGGTGGGGATTTGCAATGGGGCAGTTCTCGAGCAATATGTCAACGGCGTAGTTTTTGGCGGATGCCCAGTCAAAATACTTGAGAAATTTCCTCTTTGCATGGTCGGCCTCATCGAACAAGAAATGCGAAGAGCCATCTGCTCGCTTGGGCTCGAGCAGGCGGCGTCCACACATGAAGGTGCCATCTTTGCGGATGTCGATTTTGAAGGTGACTGTGCTGAACAGACGGTCTTTTACTTCGTCGTGGACTTGGCGTGAGACGGTGAGAAGGTCCAAGAGTCGCATTGGAAACTTTGACCTGAGTACACGTGTTGCGCGCATGGGACTTGGGTAACTCAGGATGGACAAGCGAGCGGCTCGCTGGTCGGGTTCCTGGCTGGAGCGGTCGTGGACGGCAGCAGTGGACGAATCTATGGGCTCGGTGGGTATGAGATATCGGTATACTTCATGGCGAAGCTCGAGGGGTAGGTGTTTTAGGAAATAGCATGGTGTGCTAGGATGGCCCTGATGATGGCTGCAAAGTTCAAAGTGCGGGGGGCTCCATCGGAACAGCCTTGCACACCTACGGCCATCGTCGCCGGTGAACTGACACCATCCGGCAAGGCTTTGTTGGTCGCGGTGAAGGGCGCATGTGGGAAGGTAGGTGGGGCGCGTGTCCTTTTGAGCCTTCTTGCCGATGCTGGCGCTGCAGCGCAAGTTTGTCTTTTTGCAATAGCCCGAGCATCGCTTCAAGTAGTTTTCTGGATCTTTTTGGTTGAGAGGAGGAGGGGGAGGTTCCATGCGGGGTGGAGCGAGGCCAATGCTGGGCAGGTGTGGCTGGGGACTATTTCCGGCTTTGGCAGTAACCGTGTGGTTAGACGGCGCAGTGGTAGCAGCCATAGTCGCGGCAGAGGTCAACAGTTGAGTGCGGCACCAAACGAGACGAGTTGGACAGGGTGCTTCTTCTTTTTTTGGTTGCTGTCTGGGCAGGATGCCAGTGACTCTCAGTCGTAGGCCAAGGAGGCCAAAGGGGCTGGGGGGCGAGGATGCGAAGGTAGAGGGAGATGAAACAGGCGAGCGGGCAGGCACAGGTTGATGGGCAAGAGGTGCTGTGCAGCCCAGCTCGCGCCCGTTTGGTTACACAAGCATAGGGGGAGAGGCGAGAGAGGAGCAGGGCACGAGGGCAGCGGAAGGGGGGCGGGCGGGTGTTATGTGACGGGGTGCGGCGTGGTTGTCGGGTTGATGATGCAAATACATGTCGTAGTAAGTCTGGTTCTTCGTTTTTGCACCTTTGCTGCGTCGGCCGCTGGAAGTGCAGTGCAGTGCCCCACCATGCGCGACTACCGGGCCACCACCGCACATGGCTTACTGTCCTTGTCCTGCCCATCGTGGCTCGAGGGCGAGGCGCCTTGTGGGACGCAGGCCGTGCATTGCAATCGCCCCAATCCATCCATGAGCACGAGAGCCTCTTACTACACTACCAGCCCGTACGCTGCCCCGGCTCTGTCCAGCCTACACTAAACCGTCCCAGCATCCTTTACCCAATCAGTCTAGACCCGTGCGAGGGCCGAGGACCCTCTGTGGGGAGCATCGCAACACTAAACAGCGCTCGGTAATCTGCCCTGATCCTGGCGGGCTAGGTGGCGCCATGCACGCCGTGAATCAAGCAGCCAGCGCACTCGGAGTATTAAATAAATGCGACCAAGTAGGCACTTACTATGTACGTCTAGCGAAAAGAATACCGCCGCCTATCCTGTGCCCACACGCTTCGTAGCTCCGTTTCGCCCACTCCAGGGATACACCAAGCAAGCAGCAGCAGCAGCAGCGGCGGCGGCGGCGGCGGCGGCGGCGGCGAGGCTGAGCTGCACACTCGCGCCATCTCCCACACACGGTCCGCCCATCAGCAGGCGTAGGCGTGCTTGGCTTTGTTTTGGCCTCTTTGGGCCTATCCGCCGGAGCTCACCTCTGCTCCCATCTGCAGACACACAGCTGCGGATGATGCGATACCATGGCAGAAGAGGTTTGTTTCTACCCGCGTCCTGGACATGGTCCACTCTCCCCCATCCTCCCACGAAGCTGGCTGACACCCGCTCCCCAGACTAGCCCCTTCACCACACGGCACGCCCTCTATGGCTCCGTCCATGTCGCCGCCTCCTCTCGCGACTCGGCCATCCAAGTCAGCCCAGCCAGCATCATGCAGCATCCCTTTGCTCCTGGCCGACGCTACTACATCTATCCACCCTTCATCAAGGGCCATGGCCGCTTGATACCCGCTCGTCGGACGGTGCCCTATCTGGTTGGTCTGTTTCTTGTCATCGCAGTGTTTGCATGGGCCGTCTGTTCTGCTCTGTCGGTGAGCCCGCTGCTGGGCCATCCACACCACCCGCGCCCGCCCGCACCCGCCACGGGGCTAGGACAATAAAACCCGCCTGCTGCTGGTCACGTGTCGTTTTTGGGCAACTCACAAAACTATGTATTACTACTCCCACTGTTGCGAATAGCCTGCTTGAATCCAATTTGTCGTAGGAATCCTGCCATGACTACTTGGGAAGACCAGATGTATGATTCGTCACCACTCGTGTCGCTGACAGCCATGGCACTAATGCAGTCGCCGGCTAGCTAGCTGTGCGGGGAAACTTGCCTCGGTCCAACGCGCGCCCTCACCAACTTACCCTCCTCCTTGAATACTTACTCCCGCCAATACTCCACCCGCCATGTAATCTCCGTCTAGCATTAAACAGGCTCGCGACCTGTCTCGCCTCTTCACCTCACCCCCACTCATCCCTCAGCCTTGCCGCCAACATGTCCTCTGTCAAGCCCCAAACCACGCCGCCTCCCACCTCGCACGTCCTCCTATCCTACCCTGCCGACCATGTCCTCCTTGTCACCATCAACAGAGAAAAACAGATGAACAGCATTCCGTTTGAGGGACACCTTGAAATGGGCCAAGTCTTTGACTGGTTCGATCACGAGCCTAATCTACGCGTCGCCATCGTCACTGGCGCCGGTACAAAGAGCTTCTGTGCGGGACAGGACCTGATACAGTTAGGAAAAATCCGGAGCGGACAATTAAAGGCCACCCCTGGTCTCATGAGACATCCTCTTAGTGGCTTCGGTGGGCTAAGCCGGCGCATGGGTAAGAAGCCCGTCATTGCAGCCGTCAATGGATTCGCGCTCGGAGGCGGCTTCGAAATTGTATTGGGCTGGTACGTTCTACTTGTTTTGACACACAGCTGTGCATTCCACACACACACACACACACACACACACACACACACACACACACACACACACACACACANCACACACACACACACACACACACACACACACACACACACACACACACACACACACAATCAGACGTTGATTACCTCGCAGTGATATGGTGGTAGCGGCACCACATGCAACATTTGGTCTCCCAGAAGCTCTCCGTGGCATCTTCGCTGGTGCAGGAGGCCCGCCACGACTCGTCCGCAATGTTGGCCTGCCTATCGCATCCGAAATGGCCCTCACAGGGAAACCCATTACGGCACAAAGGGCCAAAGAGCTTAACCTTGTCAACCGCATATCCCCCTCAAAAGAAACCGTTGTACAAGAGGCACTCAAGCTAGCAAGTGAGATTGCTGCAATCTCACCAGACTCGGCCATTGTCACCAGAGCAGCTTTGAGAGAGGCCTGGGAGACTGGAAGCGTTGAGCGAGCCACTCAACTGGTAATCGAACAATACAACCATGGACTCAACACGAGCGAGAATGCTCTTGAGGGACTCCGGGCTTTTGCCGAGAAGCGGAAGCCAAATTGGCAACCTTCAAAGCTGTAATAAGCTCTTCACACAAAATTGTGTAGTTTTGTAAAATAACAAAAAAGGATAAAAGGGTCCCGTGGCTTACCCCCAAAAAAAGATGGCACAGATGCCATGGCCTTCTTCTATAAAGACTGCTTCAATTACTCAATCACTGTTGAACCAATTTCTCCAGGTGACAACAAAACAGCACATCTGGTTCTCGTTGGTCCGTTAGTAACGTTCATCAGCGTGCTGCGCCCATTTTCATGTCGGCAATTCATACGCATGTACCACACTTAACAGAAAACCCTTGCACGACAACTGCACTATGCCCCCAAAAACTAGAAACCCCCTTGTTAAAAGCAGGGCAATGATCGCCCCCACGATCAAGCTGACGAATAGGAACTAATCGGGCACTGTGAGGGGCCAAGAGGAGCAATTACATATGCCTCGGCAAAGCAAACTAGGGTCGGCTTCACCGGAGACTGATTGCTAACAATTCAACCACTCGTACGTTTGCTCTACACTTTTGGACCCGTATTTCGACTAAGTGACGTGATTGAAAATACCTTATCCCATCTCTATACTACATTACCACTGTCATGATGGACCCTGAGCCAAAAAATGCCGCTCCAACCCAAATATGCATTACACAGAACCGAAAGAGGCCCGCATCTGAACAGGAACGTCGAGAGAGAAAACGCGCCATTGACCGCCAGGCTCAAAGGTCCCTTCGAGTGAAGACCAAGATATACATTGCTAAGCTTGAGCGCACAATAAAGATACTACAGAGCAAGGATCATAATGACGCAACAGCTACTCTGTTGTCTGAGATTGATGCCCTACGAGCAGAGAATGAGCAGCTCAAGCACACCATCGAGAGCGTGAAGAGCCTTGTTGGGCTCAATGCGGTTTCGCAAGACGTCCTGTCAGCCAAACCTGGCCCTGTCACGGAAGACGCAAACCATTCGTCAACCGCAGCAGCAGTCGGTATGCATATCTCTACTCCTAACCCTTGATAGTTCGATACGACCGCTCATACAATATCAAAGGCGACACGCTGCCTGAGCCGCCTACCACTTGTATTGATCGTGACCCGCAACCGTCACCACTTCCTGATGTGAACCAGTCAACTTCTATCGGCCGTACAACCTCTGAAGATGACCAGAAGTGGTTTGACCAACCGGAATCTCCTGAGCAATCAGACTTCTTTCAGCCATTACCTTCATCCAATGGCCTGACCACGGTCAATCAACCCACAAAGGCGACAATTGATCTTGACGGCATGACCCTGACACCAGATCCAGACAAGCCAGTCACTCCAGATTATGACAGAGAGGTAACCCACAGTCCAGGACACCGACCTCTGTCTAGATTTGCGCCAGAGAAGAAGGCTGAAGAGATAATACAAGAGTTATTAGAAGCAGCCCCATATTCATTAATGATACAAGAGGTACTTTTGTTTTTTCCCCCTCTTTTCCTTCCCCACATCAAGCACCAAAAAAAAAAGGCCCACACAAGTGCTTTGGATCCGGCTATGAAATGCTAACGTACATTCCAAGATCTTGGGCTCAAAAGTAGTACTATCCCTTGCTCACCATTCTCCACATCGGCCGCCTTCTCCAAGCCTCACGCTGTCCGAATAAAAGACATGAAACACAATTTAGAATTCTGGGCGTACAAACCTTGACTTTTCTGCTTCTCTTGTAAACCTACTCTACTAGTATTAGACACATCTTTGTATGTGGGAAGCGTTTCACTTCTGTCAAGTAGAACAAAATCAATGTTAGAATTATTCCACTAACAACATGCAACCGCGTATCAATCATACAAAAACATCATCACATCAACACACACACACACACACAAACACACACACACACACACACACACACACACACACACACACACACACNCACACACACACACACACACACACACACACACACACACACACACACACACACACACAAAGCAAGCATGAAGTTTTATCGTCATCATTCGTGCTATCCCAACACCCACACGGGTATCAACCGACACGAAATACTTTTTTCCCCTTCTCTTTTGTACATCACACCAAAGTGATGTTAGTAGTCGTGACCTTTCATGACTCGGGTCATGATCATTCACGCCTGGCTTCCCCCACTCCTTCTCATCCTCTTCATCCTCCTCCTCCTCCTCCTCTTCCTCTTCCTCTTCCTCTCCTTCATCTTCATCTTCTTTCGTCCTCTATTAATTTTCAGAATTTTTTTTTTCCCTTTCTCAAGGTAAATTACAAGATGGCTTTCTTGAAATCATATCGTGTTGAACTCTTTCCCTCAGCACGCATACAAACATTCCACCTTGGTCTCAGGTTTCGATGCGCTGGTAGAACAAGATATACGCCACCTTGTTGTCGCGCACATTTTCTTTGAGCAGCGGTGTCCTCTTGCCCGCAGAGCTAGGTGTTGCTGCGCCGTTAGCAATACCACTCCACTTCTTGTTGCCATCCTTCTGCTTCTCAGATCCATTCACCTGGTTCCAGCCGCCTTTGTCAGGCTCCTCCTCGTCCATGTCGATCTGAGCAAAGAAGTTCTTGCTCTTCCCAGCGTCCGACTTGTGCTGCTCGAGGGCAGCAGCTAAGACCTTGGGGTCCTCTTCTGCGCCACCCTCGGCCACTTCCTCGGCGCGGATGCGACGGATGATGGTGTCATCCATACGAATCCACTCCTTTCCTTCTTGACGTCGAAGGTCAACCGTGTAATGGCCGCCGCTAGCGTTCTTGCCATGGTGGTAGACAACACCAGTAAGTCTGTACCGAGGGAAGCCGCCTTGGATCTGGTAACTTCCTCGCTTATGTGGCGGGAACACCTCTTTGGGCAGTTCCAGCTCAAGCGGGTAGCCAATCTTCTTCCAAATCTTCTGGGGCCCCTTTTCATCGTAGTGGAAACGCTTCAGGTGAAGGATCAACACTGGTGGTAGAGACTCGATGTGTACTTGCTTTGTCGATGCTTTGGCACCGCGAGCGGCGCCGTCTAGTGTTTCTAGACGTGTAAGGTTTTTGAGAGCATCAGAAATGTTGTTGATGTTTGGTTCTCCAATGTCGAGTTGGAGCGGTTGGTAGGGCTCAAGCGTGACTGAAGCTTTCTCGCCTGGCCTCTTGTACTCAGAGCGAAGTTTGCCACCGAATATCTTGGTGATGGGGCTCTCGATGTCAATAGCTCCAGAATTCTGAGTGACGGCTGTCTTTTGCTTGTGGCCGACCTCTTCCCAGCCACCATCCACGGAGCCTGTTTGTTCACTGTTTTCTGATGTGACTGTGCCTGTAGGTTGGCTCTGCTTTCCGCTCTTAATGATTTGGACACATTCGTCATGCAGTCCAGCAAGTAGAAAACCCAAAAACTCTTCGGCGTCTTCTTGCTGGCCTCTCTTCATGTTATCGAAGCGGGGTAGACGCTTGATGACGTCGTATACATATTCCGGAGCCAAAGGATCGCCATACTGCTCAATGTCGTTGCTTTTCAGTCGTAGACGTAGCTGTTCGACGGTAGCCGCAGAATCAATAAGCTTGAAGTCTCGCAGGAACATAATCATAGCATCGATAAGAGGGGTCTCAGACTTGAAACTGTGCACAGCGCGTTTGGCGACCTGGTCGAGGAAATCGTAGAACGGAACGCAGAAAAGAAGGACTTGAAGAATCTACTCTCAGGTTAGGCGAGTTCAAGCAATGGCAAACAATCAAGACATACCGAGTTCATGTAACAAAGATTGCCCGAGTTGACGAGACCACGTGGTTCAATGAAAGAGACCTTCTTTTCCGAATCGACTGAGAAGGATGCCAAGACATCTGCGAGAGTGTTGCTTTTTTGCACAACTGGTCCATTGGCAACTGGCGCAGGGGTGGTGGCTGGCGGTGCAACAGGCTGGGCTGCTTTGGTAGCATTCTTTGCCCTCAGTAGCTCTGCCCACGATTTTGGCGCAGCTGGTTTGGGCTTTTCTTCGGTATTAGGCGTGGCTTCCTCAGTTGTTGTTGTTGTTGCAGCATCGTCGATTTGCGACAACTCTGGTTGAGCCGCAGCTGGCGACTTGATGGACTGCTGCGTGGTGGAAGCTGCACTGGACGCCTTTGCGGGCTTGATCGGGACACGGGGTACGGCAGGTATGGTAGGGTTGCGGACATGCTTTTTGGCAGCAGCCGTGACGGGGGCAGCCTGTTGTGAAGCTGATGGTGTAGCCGTAGATGGAGTTGTAGACTGGGCTAGATCGACTTCTGAGGGTGGGTGTGAGGTGGAGGGGGTGTCGACTTCAGCATCAGATGGACCTGCAATTGTGGATGCCTGGGATTCCTCTGGTTCTTCCGTGGGGGTCCTGTCACCTTCTGTGTCTTCCTCGGTCTCGTTCAAGGCATCCTCCTCGACAGCCTGGTCGCGTGAGGGCAACGCCAAAGATTGCTCTTCTGTGGATACCGGGGCCCTTCGCCTTCTCTTTCCGCGCGAGGCGCGCACTGGAAAGTCTGATTCTGGCACAGAAAGCCAGGGCAGGGGCGGATAGAATGGCTTAAATGTGGTGGATTGTGGGGTGGACGGGGCTGGCGGCGTAGGCTTTGACTCAACAGCGGGCGGCGGGCTGTCGACAGTGGGAGTTTGCTGGGGCGTCGAAGAAGACGGCATATATACGTGGGGCTGCACCGAGGGAGTTGACGGCGCCTGCTGGGGGGTAGGAATGCGGGGGACGGGCGGGGTGCGTGAATGGACAATGGGAGGCGTCTGGCCCATGGCACGGTTGACTGGCGGGACCATGTGCAGATGCGACGAGACTACCACGGGCGAGGCATGCGGCTGGGGCTGGAACTGGCGCGGAGGCATGGCATACTGAGGCGGCGGCGGGGGTTGCTGGTAGGGGTACCATTGCTGCATGGGCTGCATGTGCTGGGGATAGCCGTGGGGCGGGCCATACTGCTGGAGGTGGTGGTAGGGCGCGGCATAGGGGTTGTGGTGGACGGGCGAGTGTGTCTGTGGGGGAATGTGGTGGTGGTAGTACTGCTGCTCGGCCTGCCTCCTCCCAGGCATGTAAGGGCCGGGCATCATGAGGGCTGGGCGCGGTGTTGCCTCGACAGTCGGCGCCGGCTAGGGAGCAAGCGGCCAACTTGTGAGGCAACGGGGCGGGAGACTGTGGCGGGGGCGAGGGCGATGGGGCAGCGGGAGCGGGTGCGGGCAAGGCGCGCAGGGTGGAGGAGGATATTTATTCGGATGCGGAGCGGCGTCGCGCGACTGGCGTAGGCGAAGGATGGGGTGCGGATGGGCTCGTCGACGATCGCGGGGTCATCGTATCAGGACGACATGAGCGCAGCAGAGGCTGCCCGCGACAAGAGGGAGAGAGGTTGGGATGGATGGAGAGAGGGGCGGCGTGGTGTTGGGCCTGGCGGCAATGGAAGAAGGTCGAACCGAGTCAAAGAGGTTGCTCTGCGGACGGGCGCTGCAGTCTGTGCGGAGACCCTGGCCAGCGGGCGGGCGAGGATACTCGACCAGCAGACAGAGAGGACAAGCACGCAGACCAACGCAATGGCACCGAACGACGGCTGCTTGGGATCAGATGCAACAGGCGACGTGCGTGTGCCTCGGGGCGTGTAGACAGACGCAGAGTGCCACGGCGAGCAGCAGTCAATGGCTGCCCGTCGCGGCCGCAGCTCGTCGATGCAAAGGCAAGTGGCCGGCTGGTAACGTGACGGCCGCCGGCGTCATCAACCCACGTCCTCGCCATCCGCCACTCCACCTTCTGCCTCTTGTCCCCGACCACGCACCCTCTTGGGGACCCCGACCTTCCGCAGCCCATCCACACATACACACACCACCCGCCATCCCCACTCTTCTCTCGCTCCCTGCCGTCTTCGGTCCTTCATTTTCCCCGGTCCTACACCCGCGTCATCGTCGTCGTCCTGGTCGTCGCTGGTGCTGGTGCTGTCGCGCTGTCGTGAGCCCTTAGCTGGGAGTCATGTCTAGCAACCCGCCCGCCCCGTCCTCGTCCAAGGCCTCTGCATCCACGGGCCCCGTCTCTCCCGCCCAGAGCCAGGCCCCCTCCATCAGCACCAGCAGCTTCTTTGCGCAGCCGCGGGGCAGCGGAACCTCGGCGCGGTCCTCGCCTACGCCTCGCAACAGCCAGCAGCAGAAGAAGCAGCACAAGGGCTCCAAGCGCTTCCGCCACACGGATGAGGATGCCATTGCTGAATCACTCGCCATGCGCCCCTTCAGCAACAGGAAGGGCCAGACGTCCATTACCCACCTCATGAACTTCAGCCTTCCTCCGCGCCCCTCCAACCACAACCAGTCGCACGGCCACGGAAGGAACTATCGGCGCAATCCCACATGGGGCCTCGGGTCTGGCTATCATGCCGTCGACAAAGCCCGGTAAGTGCGCTCTCTCTCTCTCTCGCCTCATCCCGACCCGTCTCCGCTAACCCGCCCAAGATATGTGCATGCCAATTACCGCTTCATCGTCGATCCTCGCGGCGACTATCGCGCTCAGAGCGTCGATGCCGATATCCACCTCGACTGGAACAATGTCTTGCAAATATTGGCATCCGAAATCTCCCAGGAAGCGTCTTGTCCCATCTGCCTCGGGATGCCAGTAGCCCCGAGGATGGCCAGGTGCGGTCACATCTTCTGTCTCC